TCCAGGCTTGAAAGGCCCCGGTACGGCAAGGATCACAATACTCAGAAAATTTAAATGGCAGGGTCAGTGCAAAGTCCACCAAAGTCCTCACTGTGGCACGAAACCTCCTCAGTGAGCGCATCCCAGCTCTTTCCTCCTGGTGCACAGACATTGTTAACCATGCAGGACCCCCAGGTTCCAAAGTCTCCTCCCAGCCCCCTGCCCCTTTGTGCTTCTGCGCCTGTGCAGGGCTCTCCTGACCCGAAATGCTGCCCTTTGCACGGCTGCGGTCCACACAGTGCGCAGAACAGACGCTGCCCCACTGCACACGCAGCGCTGCCCACCCGGCTCCAGGCAGGGCCTCTGCTCTGACCGCTCCCTGCCTTGTGTGGTAACGTGGAGAGTTGTTCAAGGTGACACCGAACGCAGAATCTCCCCACCGCTCCAGCGCACGTCCTTGGTGTTTTCGGGGAACCAGGAGAATGAGTTATTCTTTTGTTATTTTGCATTAAAGATTCAGGGCCCTTTGCCTTGTATTCTAAAAAATAAATTTAGAAGGACAGGCCTGTGAACTTGATAGCATACACGGCCAGACCTCCGAGTGTTCTGATTGACAAGGGCAGCATGCGGCTCCCAAGCCATTCTTGACTCTCCATGCTCCCGTCAGGTTACTCTGTAATTGAGAAATAGAAAAGTGCGGAGAAAGATCTCTAAAGCAACGACCCCCTTTCAAAAGACTTACTTCAGTCATCTTTATGGAGCGAGAGAATTGCTTAATAAACCAAGATGCAAAGACCCTATTTCCTTCTTCCGTTTTGTGTATGCACGAAGCAAAGGCAGCGAATATGACGTTGTGGTGAACCCCGTTTTCTAACTTTGAGCCCCATTTTACATATAAAACATGGGGTCCTGTCAACATATGATGCCCTAATATCGGTGACTCCGCGTTTTTCTTGGCTGAACGCGCCAGAGAAGTGCCCCCGAGTCCTGACAGAACAGGAATTTCTTCCTCGCAAGTCTGGAGGTTTCGTGTCACTGTGTGAGCAGCACCAGGTCCCAACACTCCTGTGGCCTCTCGCTGCACACACATGCCTGTGGCCTGTTGCTTCCTCGTGCCATCATTTTCCTGTGTTCCTGCTTCATTGGTGATGCGCTCTGCTTCTGAACCTGCTTCTCTGTGGTACGGAACTAACATCCTCTACTTGTGTCCACCTTAGTCAGGCACCCTTGGAAGGTCCTGTCTCCAAACAGGGGAGCTAAAGGTGACGTGCTCAGGTTAAATCTGGGCATGAAAACGAGGACGGATAAGACTTTCCTAAAAGATGAAATAAGGAATTGTTGCTGGGAAAGAGCAAGAGAGAGAAGGGGGGAGGGAGATAGGAGAAGTGTGTGAGAAATATGGATCACAGAGTTCAGTTCTGTGATTCAAATTAGAAAAATTAATATCCTCAGATTCACTTAATCCCTGTATTCTGAGATCCACTGGACCAATTTTGTGGGGAGGAGAAGCTACAAGGAATTGCATTCAGGACCTTGCTTGAGCAAAGTGGGCTCGCGGCCACTGAGCTAAATCCCCATCCGCAATGGACCAACGATTAATCCACTGTTCCTCATTGCATCATATCCTAACTCACACATTAACTTCTAATTCCAGGAGGAGTCTAGGGGAGTCTTTGGAGACTGCCGGTGCATGCTCCTGTGCTGCTGATGGGAGAGGTCTGGATGTGTCCTTGTAAAACTGCATATGTAGGGCCCACAAAGTGAGCCTGTCACCAGAACATAGGAATAGTGTTGCTTCCAAGAACTGGGCTTTCTTAAGGTAAGCACTGGCTCCAGACTCAGCAGTCTGAGGGAGAGAGGGTCTGGTGTTGCTCTGAATGCATCATCGCTATTGCAAATGCACACACGGGCGAGCACACACACACAGACTGCACCTGTGCACACACAAGCACACACACCTGAAGTAGATCTCAGACTTCATCCTACGCTACATCTGCAATTTACAATTCACTCTCACAGTTGTGCTACACCGTGGATGTCTGCCGACTATGTAGAGATCAACAGGTCAAGACCTGTGGTTTGACTTGACTCTAATGGTGCTGCCCCGTGCTTCTCGCACCTCTAGGGAATGTTTCCCATTCTTGCTTGTCATTTTCGCCTGCCATTGGCCCCGTCATTTCCAGAGACTTTCGAGTGCTGCTGTGAAGAGAGCAGGAAGGGCTGAGGGGTCAGCTGCTTCTCCCTAAGCCCTCTTACCCTCCAAGAGGCTTCAGTGTGGTGAGCTTTAGCGTTTTTAGTGCTGATTGTTTCATATTCCCAAAGGAATAAAAAAGCACCCAGTACCTGTACCAACTCCCCATGATAAACGTAATCAATATGCACTATAAGTTTGTACTCACAAAACGCCATGTGGATTGAGGACTGGAAAGTGAACCTGTTTTCTTTCTCACTAGTGTTGCACTGCAGTCGGCGGAGGGGGGTGTTTCCCGGTAGATTTTTCAGTGAATAGTGTGATCTAGGGTAGTCATAGACAATTCTTTGGATGAGCCACTTCAAAAATGAGGAAATTCCCTATCCATTCATTCCAGAAATACTCATGAAGGAAGGCTCACTTAGTTGCTAGGAACTGTTCTGCATGCTGGGCTACAGCAGAAAACAAAATAGAGGATTCATTCTGCCTTGGGAGGCGGTGTCATGGTGAGGATGGATAGACTTTTCACGAAACAAGATTTCAGAAATGATCTAGATGTGAGGGAAACAGCAGTGTGGACAGAAATAGAGAACAGGCGTGCTTGGGGGAAGTGAACATTGCTTACAGAAATGTTAGTAGAATGGTCTTTCATAAAACTGACATTTGAAAAAAGTTGTAGAGGAGAGGGGACAACAGGAAAACTTTTGGAGGATAATATGTGAAGAGAAGGAAGATTCACTGAATTGAGTGTGGAGCAGAGGTCCCGTGTGCACGGAGGTGTAATAAAGTCAGTGGAGTGCAAAACACCTCAAGGGGTCTGTGTGTGAGGACATGAGAACCCAGGCTAGGGCACGAGAGCCTTCCTGTCCACTGTGTACAATTGGAATTTTATTAAAATAAATCGGAAGTTTTGCAAGGCTGGGTTTTAAATATGAGAAGGATCCCCCCGCCCCATCCCTGATAGTGAAAGAGTTTCGCTCAATGCTGCACAGAAATGGAGTCTTTGTGCAATGAGGATCTGGAGCAGTGAGGTGTCTACTGCAACAGTCTTGGCAAATGAAGCCAGTGGTGTAGACAGACTGGGAGCAGGCAGGAGGGGAGGAGTGGTTAGACTCAGGACAAGCTTGGAGGGTAGGAGCGATGGGATTTCCTGGATGATTGCAGAGCAGCCAGGACAGGAAGGGCATAGGGCGAGACTCAGTCTTTGGCCTGAGAAAAGGAATTGGTGTAATTTCAATGATCGATGTAGCAGATGAACAGATACATCATTTTTGTCCTTTGGCAATGAAGACTGGGAATTCGGCTTGAGGCACTGTGAGTTAATTCGGCCTTCCTGTAGAACGTTAGCACTGGGCAGCATTTTAGGCATCTTTCAGCATTAGAAGTTTAAAGCTAAGAATCACATCCAAGAAACCCATGAATAGATTTTGTGACTTTGCAAATGCTCTAAAATTTTGTGTGTATCTATACATTTACGTATGTGTGAAGAATTGCATTGTTTTTTTAACATGTCCTCAAAGAAGCAGGATTCTCAAAATTTAGTAGCTAGTACTTACTTGTGCTCCAGAAAGTATAGACTACAAGTGTTTAGAGCATTTGCTCCAGCTTGCAGAATTTTTTTGAAACAAGAATGAGAATGCAAATCTTTAGATCAACAGACAAATGTAGTCATCTGAGCTATTTTTCATCTTTGATTTCAACCAAAATGATAAGAAATGCCCATGTAAGCAATGATCCATGGGTGTATAGGAGATTTTAATCTGCTGTGCCAGACTGTTAATGCTGACAAATTAAAATTGTAGTAGCTCAGTATTTGCAAAAGGAACAAAAATTTTGTATATGTGTGATTTATGTTCTTAAGTGGAGACCACTCTCTTACAATCACACAAATAATGAACATCAGAGCTGTATCCTGATTTTAACTCCTCAGTCCATGCCAATGAGCTGCACTTCTAGTCCTGTCCCTCCTTTGTCATCTTCAAGAAGGTGTGGTATAGTAGCAGATGGTTTTGTTTCACCCATTGTCCATTGTTTGTGGTTTTGGTGTCACTTTGACAAACACCTCCAAGTTTAGTATAGGAAGTTTTCTTCGTGTGTTAACCCTTGAGGCTTGCAGATTGACACTATACATATAGATGTAGACAGAGACAGGGATAGTAATACACATAAATAGATCTTTCATTAATTTTTCTGGGTCATTTGTATTAGGGTCAAATTCCATTCAATTGCAGGAAAACATCCAGTGCTCACAACACCATACATAGAAAACACTTTTCCCATGTGTAACTGGGTGACATGTTGCACGGTCACAAGTAAAATTAGTTGTCTGGGTTGATTTCTGAGCTCTCCGTTTTGTTCCCTATGTCTGTATGTGTAGCATGTTGGTGTTGATGCAAGAGTCAGCACAATGCTTGGCACACAAGTTATCATTCACTTACAGAAGAAGGCTGAGATTTTAAGAGAACAGACAACACATCAAGGATTAGGCTGAGTATTTCATGCGAGTCACTTGTACTCCGCCATTTTGACCTGTTGGGAACGGATTAGTGCTCTTTGCGATCTTTCGTTTTCTCGCCTGTTGATATGGGCTGCACCTGAATTAGACTGTGACTACATGAAAGTTCTAGTTTTAAAGTCAAATTCTGATTCCAACTTTAATCATCTTCCACATTTACAGATTAAAGTCATATAGTTCTAGACAGTAAGGAGTAAGAGTCCATACATCTGCTCCTAATTGACAAGTTGATGACACACTGTTGACTTCTCCTAAGAGAAAGCATCACTGAGTTCTTTTTTCTTCTCCTCACGACAAACAGTATTCCCCTCTGTGGACATGGAACTGGGAAATCGCACGGTTCTGACTGAATTCATCTTGTTGGGCATCTCAGCAGAGCCCCGCTGGCAGCTAATCATATTTCCAACATTTCTCATGCTCTATTTGGCAACCCTAATGGGGAACTTGACCCTGGTTGTCCTGATCCGGATCGACTCCAGGCTGCACACACCTATGTACTTCTTCATTGGTGGGCTGTCTTTTTTGGACTTCTGGTATACCTCCGTGTACACCCCCAAAATCCTAGCCATTTGTGTTTCACAAGATAAACGGATTTCCTTGGCAGGATGTGGGGCTCAGTTTTTCTTCTCCTGTGTTGCTGCTTATACTGAGTGCTACCTGTTAGCAGCCATGGCCTATGACCGCTATGTGGCAGTTTGTAGCCCACTGCTGTATTCAGGTATCATGTCCACCTCTCTCTGCACTGGGCTTGTCGCTGGCTGCTACACAGGAGGGTTTCTGAATGCCATAGCCCACACTGCCAACACTTTCCGGCTGAGTTTCTGTGGTAAAAACATCATTGACCATTTTGTATGTGATGTGGGGCCATTGATCAAAATGTCCTGTATGGATACCCGCGTCTATGTGAAAATCCTTTCCAGTCTGGTGGGCTTCACTGTCCTCTCCTGTCTTCTCGTCATCCTCGTTTCCTATTTCAACATCCTCCTCTCTATCCTGAGGATCCGCTCAGCCTCAGGCAGGCGCAAGACTTTCTCCACCTGTGCTTCCCACCTGGTCTCTGTTGTCCTATTCTATGGCTCCCTGCTCTTTGTGTACTCCAGGCCGAGTTCCAGCTACTCCCTGGAGAGGGACAAAGTTGCCGCTCTGTTCTACACCATCATCAATCCCCTGCTCAACCCTCTCATCTACAGTTTGAGAAACAAAGATGTCAAAGAAGCCTTCAGGAAAGTGGTGCAGACCATACGACCGCAAGCATGAAGCTCATCTTGTATAGTTTATTACGGTTTACCAAGTCCTGACTTGCACATGTTTGTATACGTCTCTGTATTTTTAGTTGTTGTGATAATTTATTCTGGTCACAACAAAATATGCAACAGCCCAGTCTCCCATAATTATCATCATCATCGTCTTTGTTATTATTTTCTTGGGATATATTATATTCAGAGTCAATACTACTGGGGTATTTTGAATTCTGCAGTCTGATGCTTGCCTCATTGCAGTACTAGATTGTAGCATAGTTTGTCCTCTTGGCTTTTTTGAGATTTTTGAAAGAGAAAGCATGGATTCACTGGTTTTCCTGCAAATCTTTGACTTTGATGTATTTTGAGCAAATTTTATTGGATAAGTAAATGATGTGAAATGGGTAGTTAGATTGCTGGAAATTTGTTTAAGGTTATGCAAGGATTACTTTTAATGAGATGCATCCTCCTTTTCTCAAAAATTGCATTATTACAAAAACAGAAACTTCATTCTATAGTTTACATTACACTCTGATTATTAGAACAAAACAGACTAATGCAAAGAAACAGTCTTCCTGTCTCAAACTGAGGAGAATTAATCCTTTAATTTAAAATATCTCCTGCACAACCAGTCTGGTGAACTCCCGAATCAGCCTGCTGTCCCTAAGCACTGCTCAGGGAAATGCAGGCTAAGGTGGGGTTTGGAAGAGTGCAGAAGAACAGGAGGCCTCAACCCATACAAGGGGAGGCCGTTTTGCTATTGTTCCTGGAAATACGGCCGACACTCTGCGGGGTTTTGCCTGCCTTGGGCGTGCAAGAAGCATTTGCTGAGCCTCAGTGTATTCGCCTCTCAGGAATGCTGAGTGTTGTTGGCAGACTTCATGTATTTTTTTCTCACAAACTACTTCTTCACCCCTAGGTGGGAATGATAGTACTCACCTTTCTTTAAGGAAGCCTTGAATACGTACATAATAATATAACTTCAGATATTTTCAGTTAATGCTCAAAGTTAATAGTAGAATAAAACTCCATGATGAGACAAAGATGAACTAGGAAATGAGTTAGTTGAATTCTCTACTGTTACAAGAGACCCAATGATGCTAGCAAGATGGACAAACCAGTTCCACAGACACTCTGCAGAAGAAAGCACATCAACTACCAACAGGTATACATGAAATGTTCCAGAACACTAATCAGCAGAGAAATATGAATTAAAAGCACAATGAAATACCATGTTATGCACAGGAGAATGAGTTTGCTTTAAAAAATGAAAGGGAAAGTTGGGGAATGTGTAGAGAAAAGGGAACTTGTGAACACCACTGGAAAGAATATATGTTAGTGCAGCCACATTGGAAAACAGTATGGAGGATAGTTTAACCGTTTAAAATAGAATTAGGATTCAGCAGTTCTACTTCTGGCTATATACCCAAGGGGCTGAAATCAGGATGTAAAAAAAACCTGCAGTCTGCACTCCTTGCAGCTTTACACACAATAGCCAAGATACAGACCAAAACTAAGCTTCCATGACAGGATGAATGGAAGCAGAAAAGTTAGCCACACATGATAGTGTACGAAGTCCATAAAAACAGAAAAAAATGTATGTATTGTTTGTGACAAACAGGTATCTGTGGAGGATGCTAAGTGAAACAAGGAATGAACAGGAAGACATATCCTGTGTGACCTCACTCATACGTGGAATGAAGAATAGGAGCAAGATGTAGAATAGTAACTAGCAGAGGCTATGGTGGGTGTGGTTGGTGGTAGAGAGTACTAATTGGTGAGAGGGTACAGAGATTATGTAGGCAGGAGAGCAAATTCTGATGCTGTAATGCATAGCACCCTGACTGTAGTAATAACACTCTACACTTCAAAATTGCTAAAACGCGTATTCTAGGTGTTCATTCTTCCTACAGAGACATGATAAAGCAGGAGGTGCTGGATATATTAATTAGCCTAATTTAATCCATGTGCCATGTATAAAATTATACTGCACTCCACACTCATATATAAGCATTTGTTCATGAAAATAAAAGAAAAATGAAAATGAAAATAAATGGTACACTGGGAGAAAAATTCCCTTTATCTCTTCCATCTCAGAGTGGGCAAATGCTCAAAGCCCATGACAAAGAAGTGAAAAGAACCCTGTACCTTAGCAGGTGATTGAAAGACCTTCTCCAAGAAGCACAGAGGAAGTGTTCTGCTCAGATGCTAAGCAGGGCGTTTGCACATTTATTATGAGTCTTAGGGGAAGGACTAGATCAAGAATTCCGGGTCAGATTTCAGTGAAGTAGGCACAAATTATCTGACGAGGTCATAGAAAGATGTGACACTTCCTTCCTTCGCTTTATTATTTAGAGTTTTGAATTTCTAAAATCTAACTTGGGTCTATGGCCATTCCTCCCAGAACATGCCTGATCTCTTCTAAAGTCTAACTTGGGTCTCTTTGATGCTACAGCTGGCTGTGGAGTGTCCCTGGAGGCTCATATATTCAAGGCCTGGTACCTGGACAGTTGTCACTGGGAGGTCTTGTGAACTCCAAGGGATCAGGTTTGGTGGGAGATGTTGGTGTCCCTAGAGGTGTGGAGCATAGCGAGTCTCCTTATGTCTTTCACTTCCTGTCCAAGAGGTGAATAGCCAAATTCCATCACTGCCAGGCAGTCACCAAAGGCCCAAAGCAACAGGGCCAGTCTAACATGAACTGAAACCTCTACAACTGTGAACCCAAGTAACGCTTTTCTCTTCAGGACATAACTATCTCAAGTATTTGTCAGAGTAATAGAAAGCTGACCCTGAGAGTTCACAGTGGTGTCAGTTTGAGTGGATTGAGAAACACCTATGGGATGAGTGGAGCTCAGTTCTGGGTGTGTCCAGATGACTGACTTGTAAACCAGAAAGTGAAGGAAGGGGGAAGTCCCGCCCTTGATGTGGGCGGCACCAACCAATGGACTTGTAGCCTGGAAGGAACAAGAGAGAAAGCAGGATGGCGTCCGCCATCTTGTTTCTTCTCAGAGACTTTGGGCTCAGTCTTCACTTATGGACGTGCATCTTCAATTTATTCAGGCTTCCAGCTCAGACTGATCAGCTGTCCAGCTCATACTCTTCCATCTTCCGGTGCCAACCCTATGTCTTTCTCCCAGGGACTCGCACCAGATGCTGTAGTGCTCTAGGCCTGTGATTTTGTCCTGGTTTTCTGCTTTCACTTTCCAATAAATGCTGCTTTCTGATTTCACTCTACGTAAGTTCTTCTGTTCAGTGCCTTTTGACTCTCCCCCTTGTAGTCCTTTCCAAGATGAGAGAAGAACCCACCAGCCTTATGGTCACAATCTCTTTCTGGGGCAAAAGGTGAACTGTATGTCTAGCATCATGAGTAGATTAAAACGTTTTCCACTAATACATATTTATAAGAGTAATGCTACCTTCAGGAATAATTAAATGTTATTGGGTTGACTTAGTTTAAATGCTCAGTTTTCCTTCTAGCTCCCGTAGGAGTATCCGTAGTTCATGCCTATGCATGAATTATTGCACTGGTCACTAACTTCTCCTATTTATAAGTCATCTTCCACACAGCTGTTTCGATAATCCCTCAAAGTTTTTCGGTTATATTTTTCTGGTGATTTTGTAAAGTGATTTTGGTTGCCTGTTTTCTCTATGAGTGAAACATACACATCTCTATAGGTGATTTTAAACTGAGTATTCTAACTTTCATTATTCCATGGAGTATGAACAAAGTCACAAGTGTGGGCCCATAACTTCACATTTCCACGCAGAGCCAGAGAGTCTGCTTGGAGAACAGTCAACCTTGGGGAAAAGGGAATCTGACAGAGCAGACCTGATGCAAAGGAAAAGATGTGTCCTCCTTAAGTTGCTCATATTGACCTTGGTTGGACTCTGCAAGGGTTTGTAACTGTGTTCTGCAAAGAAATGAATGAAATATAATGTGCTAGGCAAAAGGGTATTTTCTGAGTCTCTGGAAAAGGCCCCGTTCTCCTCTGAACGGTGGCTTGGACAGAGTGTACCACCACCGAGACACATTTAAAAAGAATGGCCTCCATCCATCTAGCTGGTGCTTATGCTCCTAAACAAGCTCTCAATACAGGATTGTAAAGCGAGAGGCTGAGGTCATCATATTATTGCCACATTAGGATTTCCAGGGTCAACACATTCAATGATAAAATTTAGAGCAGCTCCTGGCAAGAACCGCAGGCCCAGGGCCCAGAAGCCATTACCATGAAAATCAGAAATGAAGACCACGTCCTGTGCCTTGTGACCATGTTCTTCAACATATGACAGAGCCTGTTATGAGAGGGGAGAGCTACTAAAACTGTAGCATGGGAGCTTGGTCATTTCCCCTTCTCTAGGTAGAAATTTAATCAGAGAAAGATGACTCTTTCTTATTTAACTGTGACTCTACTATAAATCTTTAGCCCTTCTTCCCAACCTCAGAGTGATACAGTAATTTTCCTCTCCCACCCCACAGTTTGGGAAAATTAAGGTATTTCTGATTACCAGTTATCTTGTTTTGGTTTCCTAGATCACGAGACCTAAGAAGACTGATTCTGTGCCTGGTTTCATTTGCCCAAGTCAGTATAGTTCTGTCCTATCACAGCCCTCTGCTTGGCACCTAGTACATAGCAAAGTGCCAGTTGGCAACTATTTCTGCATTTTGGAATCAATTGATATGATATATATTATCATCTCCACAAGATTTTTAAATTACATATGACGAATGCTACCATCATGTATATATAAAATCTACCAATAAATGTTTTGCTAAAACCTAACAAAGCAAAAATAAATTGAGTAATGGCGTGAGAGGTGAGGGTAGATATGTTTGCTGCACGAGCTATCTTATAGACATTTATGATATGCAAAGTTTGTCTCCAAAGTGATTTCTCTGTTGATGAATGGATGCTGGAGGGTATTTCCTCTCAATTTTATCTCTAGGGTTCCCTTTGTCTAGGGGAACAACTGTGAATTTTGTAATGAGTTTGCCTTGGACACTAGCTGATCATGATTTTG